TCGTGGGATAGCCACATGCTAGTTTATTCTACCTCAATGCCTGCAGTTCCACACTGCTCAATTACACTGCGTTCAGCTTTCGCACCAGGACCCACACCAAGTTCTAGTGCCAGGTTAGCAGTTGATGGGCCCAGTATCATTGGAAGTCGGCAAGTCTCCTGGTCAGAGATCATCCCTATTACGGGTTTTCGGCGCTTCGAAGTACGATCATTTAATGAGGTTGGCAGGGCCTTTTCTTAATTTGATTGATATACCTGTGAATAATATTCAGCGGTTTTATGACTTATCAATTTATAGCTGTAAAGCGTTTTAAAAACCTTTTTTTCGAGAAAATTCGAAATTTCGGAATCATGCATTCAAAAATTTGTTTTGCCCGATAGCAATTGAAGAAATGCTGTGTATCAGAAATCTAGCTGGGTAGAAAGCTACTAGATGATAGCAGTAACTCTACAACTCTATTAGAGATTTTTACCGTCTGTTAGGTAGGATATACCGCTTGCGGATGTGGTGACTAACTTCGGAAAAGTATTCAGCTAAAGATTAAATGATTTGAAAACGGGTGGCTCGGACTGAACTAGACAGCTGGTTGCTTAGGGGTCCATAACCTGGTAATGGGATCGAGAAAAGAGGGAGTATTCTGTTGAATGATGAGGCGGAGGGTGGTCTGTGGACGGGTGGCGCGCTTACACTGCGCGCGGACCGGGTTCGAATCCTCACGGTCGACACGCCGCCCAGCTTCAGCAGCCTTCTACTCTCCTTCGGGGACGGTAAATTGGTACCAGATTCGTCTGGTGGACATATGCTGACCACCCAAGTCATTATATAGGCCACATCGCATTCAGTAAGCCACTACGATTCTGAATGGAAGTGGAATACGTGCCGCATCCGACAAAGGGTTGATCAGCAGCGAAAACTTTATCTTTATCCTTTATTCTGTTGAGTAACGCCAGTACCATATTTACCATCGCTACGGTTGATCACAGCGTACAACCAAACCCGGACTAACCAAAGCCTCGGCTTCAACTTACCAAGGAAAACCAGGCTGAAAAAAAAGCACTTGAACAAGCTGTACTGGATAAGTACCCAGATCTGAGTAAAGTTCTTCGTGACGCGGCACTCGACTACGATGAGTTTGAGCTTCGAGTACATTTCATGCTTTCAATTATAGCCAGGCGAGAAGGGTTGTGGTTTCCCATTGATTTTTTGGTTTTCCATTGTAGCGGGTAGAGGCATTGCTTCCATGGCTACGATTCGCGACGTTTCATTCTTGTCACGGAGACTTGGTCTTTACGTGAGTAATTGAAAAGATCGATTAGCGTTATCCAGTCCAGTGTTGCGAGGAGGATACGTGGAGTTTCCCCGACATGGACAAACAGAAGAAGAATAGCGTAATCTATTCTCCGTAAAAATCCCAAAGGTGGGACTGTTTTCCATAGCTGATGGCTGATGAGGTATCGAAAAGCGTCTAGACTGAATAGGTTTAGGCATACGCTAAAAGCCTTATTCCATCCCGAAGACGAGATCATTTATAGAACAGCGGTGAGGGTGTTTCAAGCTTAGGAAAAGCGTCATGACACACTACATTGTTCCTTCGGGACAGGGTACAGCATCATGATGTGCGAGGTGGTGGTGAGGGGTACGCCCCCCCCCTCCCCTCCTCGAGAGAAGTCTCAGTTACGCCACCCCCCCCTACTATGTAGGTTGATCGGGTACGACTTCCCCCCCCCCCTACCCAACACTTACTTACCAGTTCCACATTTCCACTCCAGCTTTTTTACCAAAAATTTCCATCGAGGCGGGAAGCGGGGGGGGCTGTGGGTATATATGCGGAGTGTGAGCCGGGAAGAATTTCCCCACTTCTACGCACTTTTTTCGAATTTCCGCAAAATTTTCCTACTTTTCCACTAAGCTTGTTGTTTGAGCGGGGGAGGGGAGGGGGGGGGGTATATAGGCACAATGAACAGGAAAAATTACGCAAAAAAATCAATAAGTGGAAAACCAACACGACAAATTTTTCTCAAAGACCACATACGACCCCCCCCCTCTCCCAACGACCAAACCAAATACGACCCCCCCCCTCCCCGAAGAAAAAGTACGACCTTCCTGTGTGTTTCACGCAACGATGCTTCCCCTATTCGGGGGTGATTGCAGCCTAGGCGGCAATATTTAGGGGCAAACTCCGTAACTAATATAAGGCTTTAGCACGCCTGCATATGTAAAGGATAGAGATGAAGGATGCATTTTTCACCGTTGGTAAATTCCTCCTCAGAATGCGCCATGCATTCTCCATTCGGAACTGTACTGGCTTATTGAATGCGATATGGCCTATACAATGACTTGCTGGGGCAGCCGATGTACAAGTCAGTGTTCTTATCCTCCCGGACGAATCTGTACCAGTTTGCCGTCCCCGAAGGGTAGATGGCTCAGCAGCCTAGGCCTTAGCCTGTCTAGGATTCGATTCCTGGGAACGCACACGGTATGTGCGCTACTCGCCACTACACTACCTATGCAATACCAGCATATGCAGCTCCTGGAAACGCTTTTGAACCATCATTTCCGAAGAATGAGAATCTCAGGAGATTAGAGTAAAGAAGATCTATGGTGAAGAAGCAGGATTTCAAGGCGATTACGTAGAGCATCAGCATTATTTATGTGGTTCGAGGCTTGATTTTAAGACGGCTATATGAATGATTTATTGCAGACAAAAAGCAGACGTTTGACGTATGAGTCCAATAAAATGAAAGGGTTCCGTAGTTTTACTGTATGAAATTTTGTATGCTCATGCGGACGAAACCCCGTCTGTCTCTTTGCTACAGTGAATCGGATCATAAACCTATCCTCAGCTCCGCAAGTATGGTGCAGCATCATGATGCGTGAAATGGCGGTATCGGTGCGACCCTACCTAAATTTCCACATATAGTACTACCCCCCTCCCCTTTTTTTCCGTATCTTATATACCGTCTTCCTAAGCTGTCCCAGTATCGTACCAGTAGTCCCAGTTCTTGGAAATTTTTCCGGTTTCTCCCAAAGAAAAAACAACTTGCGTCGAGAGGGGGGCGAGATTGTCACCAACCAACCACCTGAATCACCTATCGGTAATAAAATTTGTATGGCAGTTCTGCGGCAACTACGAGTGTAGGGCCAAGAACGTCGACAATCGGGGAGAATTATCGCGGTTACGGAAAATTTTTCCTCAGAGGCAATACTCCCACTCCCCCCATCTACAGCGACAAAGTACGACTCCCTGAATGCTCTCCAACACGCTGGTAGCCAAGCCTACAAACAAATCATTCACTATCCATATCGGCAGCAAACCTATATACATTTACGTCGGTGACAATCCATGTGGGCTGACAGAGATGTGGGCGCTGGCAGCTGGGCTGCCTGCCTTAAATGCTTGCTAACAGCTACTTTTATTTCTTTTGATGTGTTTTTGAGATCAGCGAACTACTGAGGCTCTGAAATAAGTCCAAATTCGTTGGGAGAGATTACTTTCAGCAAAAAGTTTAGTATCCAGTGACATAAAAACCGCGCTTATTCGAATGGGTCAGTCTTGCGGCAAAACACAGAAAACGAAGTTTTGTGAAAGGAAAGTCAGTTGTAAAAGAAAGTCAAAGACGACATGTATACTTATCTCCCAGGAGCGTCTTTGCCATGTGCGAGGTGAACAAACGTGCACGGGAATGGAACTGTAGGGGTGTGTGGAACCCAGTGTCGGCTGTCCTTTAAGGTTTAAGCCGCTTGCATTCGTCACCAAGGTCCCGCAGCGAAACGCGGACTCAGCGGTTGAGAACAATCAGAAGTGAGACGTCGCAGGCATGTAGCGCGTTTGACTACAATTAGGCGTGTAGCTGCGCCGTTGGTGGCCAGTGAGGTGTAGGAGAATGGCGGCTTGCCCAGCGAAGTCTCTAGTATCCTTCTACCCTGCATTTTTTGACCGGAAAACGCGGCGCGCTACTACAGCTGTGGACCTTGTCTCGCCTCGCACGGGCAAGGATCAGGATCCGCGGAGGTAGGTGTACAGTTGTCTCCGAGAACAGGGAAGGAAATTGATCCTGGAAGCCTTGTGATTTGCTGAAGATGTGTTACCCTTTTGCTCTCTATCTTTTTTTTTTTACAGATTTTTCAAAAAAAAAGTTTTGGGGGGTGCGGGGGGGCGGGCGAGCGGGCGACGACGCCCCCCTCGCCCCCGCCCTTCCACCTCACCGGCGGCGCGGGGGGGGCCGGGCGGCGGCGGCGGTCGCCACTCACCCTCCCGCCCCTCCTGCCCGCTCACCCCTCCTCCTTAATCCCTCTGCTTCCCCCACCTGCTGCCCCGAACCTTTCCCCCCCCCCCCCCCCCCCCCCCGGGGGGGGGGGGGGGCGGGGGCCGGCGGCGGGCGGCCGGCCCGACCAAAAACCCAGTCCCCCCCCCCCCTTTCTCTGCAAAAAGCGGGGCGGGCGGGGGGGCGCGGGGGGGGCGGCGGCGGGGCGGGCCGACACAACCCCTCCCCAAAAAAAAAAAAAAAAACCCCCCCCCCCCCCCCCCCCCCATTTTTTTCATGGGGGGGGGGGCGCGGGGGCGGGGGGGAGAGAACGGGTGGGGGCACACGCAACGACCACTGTAACCACTTTTCGAAACAAGGGGCGGGGCGGCGGCGGCCTGGGGGGGCGCGGGGCGGGCGGGGGGGGCGGCGGGCGGGGGGGGCGTGGCCCCCCCAAAAACCAACCTTATTTTTTTTTCCCCCACCCCCCCCCCCCCCCCCCCCCCCCCACCCCCCCCCCCCCCCCCCCCCCGCCCCCCCCCAAAAAAAAGAAACCCACCCCCTTTTCTACCCCCAACCGCTTTATTTTTCCCCCCCCCCCCCCCCCCCCCCCCCCCCCCCCCCCCCCCCCCCCCCCCCCCCCAAAAAAAAAGTTTTTTTTTTTTCCCGCATTTTTGGGGGCGGGGGGGGGGGCGGGGGGGGCCCCTACACCCCCCCCCCCCCTCTCTTATAAAAAAGAAGCAACGCAGGGTAGAGATGGTACTGCTTGATACCCTGCAGGTCACCGGAATTTTGTGACTTGGCTGCGGGACTGTTGTGTCGCTCCCCTTCCTTCATTTGTTGTGCCCAACCATTCAAGGCAGTTGGCACGATAAGTCCCTAAGGCGATTAGGATCAGTACGCCTGGCAGAACGGAATCCGCGCTCCTGAGTGGCCGCTGTGTGGAGCTTTTTTTCCAAGGAAGGTACCCTTATGAGGCTCTATCAAGCTGCAACACACCTACCCGCACACCACCGCGCCCGCCCGCCCACAAATGGACGACCGTACCTGATGCTCGTATTGCTTCATTTGCGAAGTAAAATATGAAGCGAAGGGATTGACATGAAGCGGCGCGGTGCTGCATGGATTTATAAGTACAAAGGTGTAGCCGGATCTACGGTAGCGTATTCTGGCAAGATGCCTACGGGGAACTCGTTCGAAATTGCTTTCTGAGTAACCACGTAAGAAGGCTTTCTTCGCAGGTTTTTGACCGTTTCACTTCTTTTTTCGCCACTTTCCCAATATATAGCACCCTACTAGCATTTCTAGACCGAGTACCAAATTATCGTGCCATATGCCTTCGAGATCTGGAGCGGATAACGAGACTTCGATGATAAACTCGCTACCATAAACCCCATTCTTCTCAGTTATAAACAGCTGTGAAAAACATTTCGTTTTTTCTTCGCGTTTCTTTGCATGATTCAAGTAGTGTTTTGTTGGCACGCTTAACCTTGTCACTTTTCCCAGATCTAATAAAGAACATAAAGCCCAATAAGTCGAATAAAACGGGAAAGGAAAGCGGACATATCACTCACTTGTTTCCCAAGGAGCTTTGCATGCTTTTGAATGTGGTGGTGATTGTGTTGTGTTGTAGACGGTGTTCACGGAACCGAGGACATCTCCGCATCCTCCCCAGTCTTCACACCCTGATGGAGCACGAGTAAGTACGATTGAAAATGTGTTAGTGGCAGTTTAAAAAGGATATCACCTTCAGAGTGTGGATGTTCAGAGCTACGAAGTGGTGAGTCACGCTGATGGTCCTATTACCGCCACCGCTGAACAGCTAGCAAAACTCCGGTCTGATCTGGATGTTGTAAATTCGAACATGAAAGTAAGCAAATGTAACTTTACTAGATTTTATTCTGAAGAAACTAAAGTATGTAGTTACAGGTGTTCCGTGAGATGCTCACTGAGATCATTCCTGGACGTGAGACAGCCGACGAGTTGCAATTGCTCAATGAATTACATGCAACTTGTAAGCAAATGCAACTACGTGTACTGGATTTGATTCGTAGTGTTGGAAATGAAGAGGTGACATGTGAGTTCATGTATTGCATATATATTGAGGGGAATTGTTGTATTTTCGTATTTGCTCGTTTTTGTGAGGTCTGTGACAGCACAATCGTAATTCACCGCGCTGCTACGCGTCGCGTGCCACGTCGCGCACCACGTCGCGCCGCAAAGGACGATGTTTCGAGGTCGAAGATTCCAACAGTAAACAATGTATAACCAAAATGACCCCAAATGTCTACGATATCGTAGTGTACATGAAATTTGGTGCTCCATTCGAGGGGTTAATGAAAATTAGCACGACGCCGCGCGCGACGAAGCGGCAAATGGGGGTTGTGTTGTTTTGACCGCCTCCCAGAAAGGTCGGCACATGACTATTTTTTTATGATTATTTTCCTGTTTCACGCGCGCTCTTTATGTGGCGGGTTTGTGGGGTATCGGGAAATCGGGAAAGAAAAAAAAGGGGGGATATGGTCGTATTTAGAAACTCAATTCCACGATCATGCTCCGCAAGGCAGTGAGCGGAAGTTTTCTTGTCGAATTGGCGTTTATTTAACGATTTTCACTAGTAGAGCCTTTTTACAACTGAGCTGTTTTTAATTGAGCTCTTCTTCGAAACCGCATTCCGCCATTCCGAGAGATTCGGATGGGCGGAGACAAGTAGTTACAGCCGTTCTTACTGGTGCACTGCTCCTGAGTCAGCTTTGAGGAGGGTCATTGAGGTTATTTTGCGGCTCATAAAATACATGTTTGGGTAAGCTATAGCACTGAGAAAAAAGTATTGGCGCGCAGTAGTCTGTGTGCCTGGCAAGTTGGGCTGCGTGAACACTTCACGATTCAAGCGACTGTGACCAACCATGCTCTATAGCTAACTGTTGAACAACTGCAACTGCTAGTCCAGCTTGATTCCTATTAGAGCTTTTCAAACGTTGCATTGGTCCACTTATTGCGAAGGTAAGACGTGGTCGGTCGCAGTTGCACAGTATGGTAATCGCGCTAAATCACGCGAATCACGACAAATAAACGCAGCCTTGCAGGATCTGTGATATCATTTCGCAGTATAAGAAGGTATGTCGAAATCTCCTTACTACGCAGCATTTTAGACGAGCTTCTGGTCATGAATGACGAATTCAATAGCGTATTCGAAAAGTACGATCGATTTATGACGAATCGAACTGGCGACACAAGCGGGGACGGTGCAACTGCATCAGCTCAACAAGAAGTCGCAGATTTGATCGACGTGGGTCAATCTGCAAAACCATTGGAGCAGCAGCTCGCTGGAATGAGTTAGTTACTTGTATTGCTCTACTACAATTAGTTGTATCTGTATTCTAAATGAAAGTACTGATCTGCATCTTCAAGACAGTCCCCGCGATCAAGTGTTACGGTTAGTAGGTGCTCAATCATGAACCAGTAGCCCATAAGTAACTCCTCAGTAGAGAAAGAAGCGAAAAAAAACTTGGGAACACTCTGAACAGAGACCCCCTTAGCAGTGGGCCGCGCCTTGGACGAGTTTGTCGGACGTCGGCAAGCCCAATCAGAAGCATTCGACGTGCAACTGATCCTCTGCAAGAGCACGAAAATCTCCCTACGACACTCCAGGCAACGCTATTCCGCTTGTAAGCCGTTGTTTCGCAGAGTGAAAGTAATCATGGTTGCAATAATTACGCGTCTCTAGCTTCATTAACTCGCCGTTGTTTCGAGTGACGAGAGTAGTATATTCTCTGCGAATACGGACAACGATGCCAAATGCCGCAGTCGGGCATTTTGCGGACGAGCGGGGGGCTCATTTGATCGCGTGAATTGTCTTTCACGAGGGGCGAGGGTTTAAAAAAAGAAAGTTGCTCACATAGCGCACCATCGTGATTTGTTTTCTTTTCAGAGGTGACATCAGCTTCGACTTCGGACGCATACAGTGCCAATAGTGAACAGCAAGCAGCCATCGGAATCGCAACCGCAATCAATAGTAAAGTAAGGATCTTGAAAATAAAGTACTACCTTTCAATTGATTACCTGTTTCGTAAAAAGTAATTCGTTTCCTCAGAATGCTGTTACCGATGTCGAAGCGAAAGAGATGGAGAACTGGCTGGCAGCACAAGGTGAGGCTTTTAATACGTAGTACTGAAATTGAATAAGTAAAGTACAAGATCTAAGGCCACAGTACTGGGTAGAGGCGAGAAGATTTGTGAAAATGCTGAAATCCATGGAAGAAGTTGCTACAGTAAAAAGCAACGGCATTCATTTCGTCGACGACAATAGCTATTGTTTCGCTAGCTTATTTATAATGGCTTGTAGGCATTCCACATCTGGTTACTTTTTCTTGTATTTCGAACGGCTTTCCGTTTCGTTTTCCGATTTCCGCCCTTCGTAGCATCCATGTTCCCTTTTTTACATGAAATCTTCGATGGTTTCCAAAAGGAAGCTTCCCGATTTCAACAATGTTATGTTGTGAAAGCCAGAGAGCACAGACATCGTACACTCGTCGTCTGTGCTTTGCGCAATGGCTTGAAAGACAACCTGTACACTCACTTCCATGGATCCTGGACGATGTGTGAAATGAATGGGTCCCCAGCTGCAGTAAGTGTGCCACTTTGTCCGGTCAAAGCTTGGAAACTGATCCGAAAGGTAGTGATACCCGAGTCCCGTTCCCATACTCCGCCCACGCTGCCGCACGAACAGCCACACGCTCAATCATAGCCAGACGCGCTACTTGTCTGCGTTCTCTCACTTTTGTTTGTTCTCTATTGTTGAGTGCGTGTTTCCGCTGCTCAAATGGACGCAAGTGCTGCACTCTGAGAACAGCGACGACTTCTGGGCATCATAACCCCAGTGTGCGTCGCTGACAAGTTACCGCTGCAAAACACGCATTCAGTGGTAGAGAACCAGGTGTGATAGCGCTGCAAAATAGCGCGTTTGGCTATGATTAGGCGGCTGTCTAGCCGCCTAATCATAGCCAAACGGCTAGGCTGTCGCTAGCCATGCGACAGCGCTAGTGGACGAAGGATACGGTCCCCGGGTTTCAATACCCTCCAGCACCGTTCCAGTGCACTTTCGAGCGGAAGAATCTGGCACGTTACTGTGGCTTTGCACCCATTCACCTTGCACATGGACCGTTCTTTGGAACGGTTGTACAGTTTGTCTTTGAAGGCAGTGGGCAAAATGGTTGGTGGCGGGCGGTCCTGCCATCGTCACTGGCAGAAGGGTGAAGTGAGGTGTGGACAAACGCCCTTCCACCAATGACATTGGCAGCAACTGCTCGCCCCCTGCCATCGTGCTCACTGTCTGTGAATGAATGAAATTGTGAAACTTCCGCATATTTTTTATTGATCGATTCCAGAGAAACCTGCAAGTACTCCAAAGAAAACCGATGATGACAAATTGTAGACGCTTAAAAAAATGCCGTGCAATGCAGCAGCAAGTATTTAACTTCGCCAAGTGCCCAAATATTCCGTGTATATAAAACCAGTCACCTGTGCTTGATTTCGTGATATCGTGTGGGTCTCTCCTATCTGTCATCTTCCTCCCACTTATTATTTTTTTTCGAATGTTCATTTTTTTTGTTTGCTAATTGTTGACCTTTCATCCATGGTCTATTGCACAACCGCTGTTTGACTGCTAGTCTTGCTATGATGCCCAGATTATGTCTATTTTTGTTACATACACACACGCACATGAACTACAACATAAACGTTTACTGGTAATGCATGATATAATCAGAAAAATATTCAGCGAAAAAAAAGAAGTGACATAGGCAATCAAATCCGCAAAAAGAGAATGGGGCAAAGGCGTACAGAATGATCTTTTCATGCATTTCATAATAAACTCTGACGAGTATAGGAATACAAAGGAAAGAAAAAAAATGGACATGCAATTATAAAATAAAATCGGTGAACGAACAGTACTAAAATCAGATGCCATCACATAGGAGGCACATTCACTTATCCCCGGCTAAAAATGCCGAATCAAACGAACCCCTCTTCCAAGTATATAGTAGTAGCTGGATGTTTGGAATTTTTTAAGACCCCGTTATAATAAGTAGTGAATGAGAATAATTATCAGAAGAGGAACACGTTTAACATGACATCACGCACGGTAGGAAGTGATGCAAAGCGTTACGAATCGTGCATTTTTCTACCAGTCTTTCGAGATCTCCGTCGTCCATGACCATGTCAACCAATCATGACCATCGTCATCGGTCATCTGTGACTTTACCTTGTACTTGCCACGGTGGAGCATGCCTAAAAGATAAGACGGTAGGATGGTTGGCTCAGTGGGACCAGTCCTACAGATCCTACGGTAAATGACGTCTGGCAGCTCGGCAACTTCAGAATTTGTGCCACTTTCGCTCGTGGTAACGGTGTAGGAGACCTTATTATCAGGACTCCTCCTTACTGAGGACGCGCCCACTGCAAGCGCGGTAAGGTGAATAGCGGTTTGTCACGACCAAGTCCATAAAGGCGAAGCCGCGATCATTTGCCATCACAGATAGTGGATTCGAGCTTTGCATATAGCCGACAAGGTTCAGAGTAACCCGATAGTGAAGAAAAAGCAGAAAAAAAACATGCCAAGTGTCCTAAATAGAACCCCATTCCGATCCCAATTTGTACGTGCCCAATTAACTCCATCTCCAACATTACGCCTTCATCCGCACAGCTGATTCCCCGATAAGAACTCTACGACCGTACAAGTGACGATTTTCATGCTTTTTCGTCCTGCAGCCTCGTTTTTCTCTGAAATTCCGGGGCTCGGAGGCGGAGGCTGGAGATGGAGTCACTGGAAAAAAAGAGGCGTCAGTGAACCTATTTTGCATTATGTGCCCTTCCCTTACACTTTTGCTGTGAAACCGGTACAGGGTTGTTCGTAGCGGACCACACTATCCTCTCGACGCCATATTTTCAACTTCTATACCTGGTCGCGGACCATGGACCGGTGGGGCGTGTCAGCCAGTATGAGTGCACACTGTTGAAGCCGTTCTCAGCCTTTTTGTTGAAACGCGTATGCGACAAAAAGTGGTAGAAAACGAGTAATACGGAGGATATAATACAGTAATGTCACTTGCCCGCTTCAACAACTGGTGCAGAACGACTTTGGCCCCGCGCCAAACGCAGCCGCACTGAACCGCCCCGACAGTACGTAATGATGAGGACTGTATACGCGTCAGGGGTATGTGACAGTCCGTCGTACCCACCTATCACTGATTGGGGATTTTGGTCGAGTCCGTACGACCCCCCTGAAAGTTGGCTTGATGTGCCCCCTCCCCCCTAGTTCCCTCCTCTGATGCGGTCGAGCTGTCGAACAGGGGCATAACACATGTGAAACGGGAAACCTCGCAAGATTTTCCCCAACGCCACAAATTTCTTTGAGAACCCCTCTCCCCCACCCTTTGTCACTTCCAACAACGAGCAAATACTATCCAACTGTCAAAAAATTTTTTTCTGAGACCAAATACGACTCCCTGTTGGGACATTCCCAGCGACGATCCGCCCTGGCAGAATCTGCAGGTTTTCTGCACCATAATTACTGTGTAATCACTCTAGTTATGCAAATAAAACAAAACCTAACGGTCATGACAATCCAGGTCCTACCAGAGTGAAGAGCGTGGCTGAAAATGAAGCGAACACAATCTTATTCAATAATGCAATGAGTATCGCGAACAAGCGCCCCATTGCAAGTTGCAGGCTGAAGCGGGCGCGACGTCGTGTGGCTCTAAGGACCGTCTCCCCGTGTTCAGTGTTCTCGTTACCCTATGCTCCCACAATACCATAGTTAGCGGAAGTACAGGGTCTTTCCTCTGGCTTTATCGAGAACTGCTTTTTTTTCTTTGCAGGTCACTTGGCGTGAACAAATTTCTATTTTTAGTCACTCCCCCGCATTATGTAGTGCATTCTTAGGACAATATATGCCCTTACTGTCCGGGAAGCGGCCAAAACAATCGTGATCTGCCGCGAAGTCGCGCGCGGTCGACATTAGAACATAGTATAAGCGGCTTCAAACTATCTAGTTGCCGCATGTGGCTTACGACATCGCTGGCCATGCTCATCAGCGCGGCGAATGACGATTGTCTTGTCACATACCCTTACTGCCCGTTCCGCAAAAATAACCGATGCTTCTGGTAATCTCTCAAAGATGTTGCTTCGGCCACTTTAGAACAAGAAACAGAATGAATTAATATGAACATACCAGAGGGAGCTTCCTCGACGGGAGTGGTATAGCTTTGGAGTTCCTTTTTCGGAGCGTACGATCCAACCATGAAGTTTTCCTTCAAAACTTGTACTCCGTGGCGGCTCACTTTGTGCACGTATCTAGAAGATTCTAGATAAGTAAAACTTTAGTGTAGAGGTGTTGACCTACTGGTTAAGAAGAAAGCACAAGAAGTCGAAAACTGATCGAAAACGTCAAAATTATGAGGCTCTCCGTTTTGCAGCCAATTTTTAGCATTTGACAAGAAAGGCATTGCAAAGGTGCAAGATTCGAAGGGATACTGTGAGCGTGGGAGAGATCACAGACGGGGAGGAAAAGGTTGAGAAAATTGATCCCTAGGTGGGGTTACTACTGGTGGGTGGAGTCGCTACGACTTATGACGGCCCAGCGCCCTCATCACTTATTTTTGACCAGGGAAATGGTGCAACCTTCTGGGATGCAGACCGGGCTGCAATGTTCAAAGGAGTTCGATCTAGAATTCTTTAACCAAGCGCATATTTTTATGATTACTATTGTATTTGGCAGGCTCTTGGCAGTCATTTTATAAGCGAGCTACACAATCAATCACCTACATATTTCCTTACTAAACCCAGAGAGAAAACCTGCAATGTTACCACAATTGATCTACTGGAGATAGGAAATGGGCAAACCTAACAAAATCTACTAACTGGAAAACTTACTTAAGACCAGTAACAATCTCACGTTGAACATAAAAATCGAAGCGAAGTCTATATTGGCAGCCTTCTTTCAGCCTAAATGTCGCATCTCCTAGAGCACCTAAAAAGGTGTTTATTTTAGTAATTGATCCGTTCTCAAAATGCATCACTTTCAGAAGACATGCAGTAAGTGAACATTCGAATGAACTTATTTAGTTAATTACTGGTTTCTTGGCTTTTACTCCTGGACACTACGATCACGTCTACAGTCCACACCCTGCAGGTAGGGTGGGCGTGGCTGCGTTTCATTTGAACATGACGGCAGCTGGGGTTCTGGAGGGATATTGCACTTTGAGGCAGTAGAAATCATGCATTTGTCAAGCAGAAGATAGCATGACACTTGTCTCAAATTGAAATACCCCACATAATACCCATCCTTATCCGTGCTTGAATAAAGTACGCGGTCACGCCCTCCCCAGTTCCGGGATATGAAGTATATATGCAGTCACTGAAAAGGGGTCCTAGACGAGTTCAAGCAATCAATAATTCACGAAAAATTTATGTTTCGAAAGAGATGGATTTATTTTGCTGATATTTCCTTCCGACAAGAAAAAAAGTTCGACGTTGCAAGCGATTCCCAAGCCTAACTAATGCGCTCCATTAAAAGAATGAAATCTGAGCTGCAAGTCAATTTCCAGTAATGCGAGCATCCGTAGGGATAAATGCATTGACGACTGAAACCCTTTTGCTTTTTGATCCTCCAGCAAAAGACTGCTCAAATAATGAAGTATCACCTGCGTTGTCAAGCTCCATTTTGACGTCTTCACGTCCAGGAACGAGCAACGTAATCGATTTGACAATCACAATTTTCGGATTTGAACTGTCAACAATAATATCGGTTGGCGAGGTCCCAAGTAATGTCGCTTTGTACTTTGCAAGGCTTTCATCATCCTGAAAAGCATCTTCCTGAATATTTACAGAAGGGAGTCACTGACACCAGCTACAGGCTTGCAACAAGACTTATAAAAGTTGAACAAAGTTGATCACCGTATTTGAGGCTTTTCTGCAGTGGAAACCTAATATTTCTTGGATTAATGTGCTCTACAAAAGATAAAATCAATTGAAGTCGGAGCAGAATATCAGCAAAGACGCGTGCGGTCGCGAGCCTGTGAGACAGCCGCGATCGATCCCTCGGACAGATGTGTCTGTCCGACCAATCAATTGGCAGTTTTCGGCTATTTCACAGGAACAGGTTCTCTAGCGGCAGCGCAGGTTAAGTTAGAGACACATTTCGCGACGACTTTATAACCCGCTCCCAGTAGAGAGTAAGTCCACAGTCACACGTGGTTATCAATTTGTAAATCGAACGTGTATAGTAAGAACGCTAGAGACTTGCCACTAAAGTACAACAACATGCAGCTTCCTCATTCTAGTTCCACCTGTAAGATACAAGGTGTTTAAAAAAGGTATGATCTCCTCCGAAATTTTTTACTCTTTTCAAATCTTTTTAGTAGTACAGTGCGACCTCAGCGGAGCAGTTTATCTATAGCGAAAGTGATCGAGCAGTATGAGCAGTTTGAGGCGGGTACGGTTGATTACGTCCAGCCAGTCCTTTAATTGCGCTCTCAAATACGAGTAAAACGCAATTTCCTGATGCGGATAACATTGGAGGTGCTACAAAATAAGAACAGAAGATGATGACAAGGGCCAGAACTCAAGAGCAACTCGGCTGCATCCGCAGAATCCATCAGAGGCCGCGCATTCCCAGAAAACATGAGAATAAAAACAATCCAAGCGTCCCACTCGTTTATTCTAAGTATTTCTATGGCTTTGGCGCCGGATTCGCGCCGGATCGTAGAAATTTACAGGCGATTTCAACTAATTTGCCTTTCCTTGATTTTTTCATTTTGTTTATTTACATTTACAGTCGTCATCCTTGCACTTGATAGGGGCGTGTCGGCGAGAAGGAGCGTGCACACTGTTTGAAGCCTTCTCAGCCTTTTCGTTGAAACGCGTATGCGACAAAAAGTGATAGAAAACGAGTAACACGAAGGATATAATACAGTAATGTCACTTCCTGGTTCAACGATTGGTGCAGTACGGGTGCGGGCGACCGCGCCGCACGCAGCCGCACTGACATTGACTATCAAGTGCAAGGATGACGACTGTACATCGTTGTGCTTCATTTCTAGCCTGTGTCATCTTCATCTCCTTGTACATGGATTTTGAAGCATGAGCAACACCTAAAATTTTATTCGCATCAGGAAATTGCGTTTTGCTTGTATCAAACTAACGAGTATGCCGTTTTATTTTCATGTTTCGTGGAAATACGCGGCCTCCGAGGGATGTTGCAGAAGTGGCACAGTTGCTTTTAAGTTCTGACCCTCGTCATCATCTTCTGTTCTTATTTTGCAGCACCTCCAATGTTATCCGCATCAGGAAATTGCGTTTTACTTGTATTTGAAAGCGCAATTAAAGGACTTGGCAAAGTGCCAAGGAGCCGCACGCGACACGCGCGCTTACGACGGATGTTATGAAGGACGGGAATCTGCGCCGCAAAAAGGTGTAAGGCGGAGCATGGAGGAATAGCGTGTTTCACGGTCCTGTATCTCCATTCCTGGGCATGTTTGGGCGGGGGGACCACGACACATCGACAGCTGGGGGGCTGATAGTCTCATACACCCTCAATGTGTGTGAGCGTACTATGTGTCTTTAACTACGCTGCGGGGCGTCTCTGCGCCTCTATTCGCCTCATGCTCTTCCAGTGCTGGAAATCATCGGCATAACTTAGAGAAATTTCACCAGGTTCATTTGCTTTCTCCTCTACTGCTCGCATAACTTAGAGAAATTTCACCAGGTTCATTTGCTTTCTCCTCTACTGCTAAGTCAGTTATCACGTACCAATCCATATTTGATCCGCACCATCCACAACTAGCATAGCGGATTGTGTTTATAAACAGTGAAGCTATTTTGAAACCTAGGCAACGTTCTGTGACTAAATCTATTAGCACTATATTCCAGGATGCCGATCTTTTGAAGGAGCGCTATCGTATATCTCCTATCCCGGATATGGAGGGGTGGGGCTTCATTTCAGCGGCTGCAGCAGCGCTTTTGGTGAGAAGTGGCCGTTCTAAGGGAATTGTAATCACGTCTTCGTCCACCAAGAAGCAAGACGACACTTGCATCTAATGGAAACATCCCAGGAAAAACCTTACACCATGTTCATATAAAGACTGTAGCCGCGCCCTCCCTATCCTCCGGGATGTCGAGTGCAAAGCGCCGCGGCATCAGCTCATCGGGAACCCGAAGCGACAAAGTGCAAATGTTTCGAAACACCAGGGCGAAATGATATTAAACGGCTGTATATAGCAATCATGATGATGAAACGGCTATTTCCTTAACGATGACGAACTATATAAAAACAATGTTTTATGAAGCCTTCATTGTTACGCAGTACGCAGTAATACATATGAGTAAGAGGGTGATTCAACACTAGTCCTTCAAATCTGACAACAGGGCAAGGACCCGTCTGGATAGGATCCTAATTGGAGAAAAACTGAAGATACATCAGATTTGGTAAAAGAACAAAGTTGCGGTCTGAATGCCTGCTGATTGGAGAAGGATATGCAAAAACAGTTAGCCAATTAGGAACGACTCATTCTTTATGGTGCTCTCGCATCCTACTGGTTTACTGTTTTTGGAAAACCAATCACACGCTACGTCGAAGAAAAGAAAAAAAGGGAATAAATTAACAGAAAACGATGGAATCTCATCTCAATATGTACAAGAGTTAATTCAGTACAACTGTTTCCATATGAGTATGAAGCTATTGTACGCAAAACGATCACGTGATGCGTAATGTGGAGCTTTACTATTTAGATAATCAAAGACACCACCCGCGACTATCTGACAAGTAGAGCTCTTCCGCAGATACAGTAGCCAGATCTGAGGTCGCAAAGACTTTGACACTTCGTCTCCTGAGAGTGCGGGACAAGGGCGCCAGAAATGCGTCACTTGTCCCTTCCGGGTTGAAGTACCCTAGACGCGCCCACGAGGACGACTTTAACGAAAAAACCCTTGTTTAGGGCGGTCTCGACCGTTTCCTTCTTTCTTCACTATGAAGTCCTCAGGAGCCTACTATTTCGTTTCTCAAGCCCCTCCCTGCGGGTACAGTCGGTGACGGGGTCTTTAATCGTGAGGAATAAGCAGGATGATGCATAGGGTGGAAAATAACTATCGAGGGGGTCAAAAAATATTAGAAGGAAACTGAATGAGGGAGAAGGTATGGATATTGTGTTTTTATGACCCAACTGATCTATAGCCTACTCATTCCCCTCCCACCCAACCTTTTCCTCTTAGGCAGCACTGTGCCAGACGGCGGTAAGGAAAGTGGTCACATTACGAGTAAGAAAGCTGAGGCAAGGGGCCATATAAAAGGCTCTCTCGAGCCTTTTGCAGCAGTTTGGCCTTTTCTGTATTAATTCAACTTAGTGTAGAGTCGCCAGGTCGTCACTTCCCATAGTAATGAGTTTTTTTGCATTCAATTTTCAGTTACCCTTTGGGATTTTAATGGAGTTTGTTTTTTCACGGTCCCTCGTATTCGCTCAAGTCACGGCAAAAAAAGCAATGCATTAGAATATTACTGCATCTGCATGCGAGCAACGCTAAATAGCGAATGGCTAGAGAAATAGAAACCATAAAAAAACGATCACAATTTTGAAACAGAAATAACTTTAGTCGCAGTAGCCGAGAGCACACTAGGCATCCAGTGACGTCCATCTGAGGAAAAATAGCCTCAAAGACATGATAAGCAAAATTTTGAAGTCCGCAAGATATCAGGAAGCCCGTGGACTAAGGACAAAATCCTTATCCCTACATCTTAATCGTTTCTTACGCACATTCCAGCCGTGTATTCCGTCCAACATAAGGGAACGAGCGGGTCGAGGAAATGATACTAGTAACATTTCAAGGCTTTTGAAAACACCTTGTGCAAAATTGGGATCACCGTAATCCGACGAGCTATTGCATAAAACGCCCTATTTTGGAGGAGTAGCTTTGAAAGGGATGTTTGTTCGCAGTTAACAAAGGAAAGTGAGAAGCAGTAGCATTGGAGAAAACAGCCTGTGGTTTGCTAGGGTACTTTTTTTCCAGTGGTAGTACTCATTCACAGCACATCCTGCCGTTGGGGAAAGGGAAATTTTTACAAAGTACGACCCTACCAATCAGAAGTTGCTACTCCGATACGACCCCTTCTCCTATCTGACCTACCATCTTCCCAAATTTTCCCTACATTCTAGCACATCCTCAGTTCTTTCCAAAAGTCTCCAGTTTTCTCCAGTCCCTCTCTCTCCCTAAGGGAAAAAATCTGTCATTGAGTGGCGAGGGACGGGTACATAACGCGTTTGGAACGGTTGAAACAGGAAAAATCGAGGAAGGTGAGCAATCCCACACATTTATCTAAAAAGCAAAACATACCCCCCCTCCAGCGACGAAATACGACCCCCTCTGCTGGCTGAAGCCCGGGTACGACGTGTCCGTCCTGTACCATTCCAAAGCATTAAGCTGTGCTAAGACCTAATGCCGTAGGTTTAGAGAAAAAAGCTCGAGAATGGTTCACCACGGGCAGGATGACTCATCATCAACCAAGGTCTTGAACGACATTTTACGGATTAGGGAACATTACGAAAAGACTAACGTTGAAAACAGCCAACAATTACCAACAACAACAGTAGTTGTACAGCTCTAAAGCACAAATTAAAAAAAGCGTACCTGATCAGCATTCAAAATTTCCGCCACTGTCTTCTTTTCGGGTGCCTTGTAATGAAGATCGGGATCTTCGTCTAGGTTCTCCTCGGTGTATTCCGACATCACTGAGGAAAGGCTGAAAAACTCCAAAAAAATCTATATGTATCACTACAATACAGTACAATAGCGTCCCGTTGATAGCGAAATTCAGCGACACTCCGAACGATGAAAGCACAACTGATTACGACAATCAATAAATAGCTCCGAACAAGGTAAAACGCTCTGACTAACAAGCCGGAACATATATGGACAAACTGGGCGAAGAAACTCATTACTTTGCGAGTCCAATGAACCCGTAAGGGGCGGGACCGTATGTGAGTAAGGAAGAGAACCATATTGTCAGGTGTTTGTGGGTGAAAATGAGTCCGCGCACGAACAAGTGACATGGTATTTGAGGGACAAACTGCAGAAAACGACGAGACCAGGTATTAGCATTGGCACGACAATTGATGGGGACGAGACGAGATGGGGTAGCGAAGAGGCATATTGACTCGCCATGAAACACTGACGACCGAAAAACTACGGAAATTAACATGGGCAAGGTTGGTTAGTACGTAGACTTGCAAACTGATATGCAAAAAGAAAAAAAGTATTTTTGAAAAAAAAACGTGTTCAGGGAAAACTTTAGAGCTCCAACCTCTTCCTCATGCCAAGAGGAGGGTTTAGCGCCACAAGGCGGTTCAACAAAATGATGACCTCATTAGTAATGCATAGAGGAGGGGAAACGAGTGGGACTGGGACGTTTCACGGGCTAAATAGAATCTGTTGCGCCAGGGATGACGCAAAACGGTTCTTCTAGTAAGAAGTGGTCGAGAAATTTCAAAATTCTCTTACTTTATCGTAACAAGTGGATGGCCTGGTGCTAACGTAATATAACGGGTCATTTTGTTAATGCGTGTCAAAAAGCTGACCATATTTTGAAGTCCTATAACCCTATTGCAAAGCTAGTAAGCAGTAAGATTTCGGCACTACTTACCTTTTACCGCCCCACTCTTCGAAATTCAGGCCAGATTTGGAACTACGTTTTTCCCTTATCCTTCGGCTGAAGTTCTGCCTACGGGAATAGTTTAGCGTCCTGAACGCAAGTATCACATCCGCTCACGACAAAAAGACCTGACGAAATGGAGATTTGACGAAGAGGATTAGATATGTATCCATCTACTTCCGCGATTCTGCAACTCGTCAATTCTGCACACCTTCCATTCCTCAACTCTCCAGATCGATACGTATCCAATCCCTTCCGTCAATTCGTCAATTCTTCACTATCGCAAGGGGGAGACGGACAAGACAATCGTAATTTATGACGTCTAGCGCGCGGCGTATGGGGCCGCGATGCGCGACAAATTCATTATATAAATCAGTTTTTCAATTGGACCAGGTGAAACTCACATGAATTCTAGCGGAGATGAATGCGTGACTTACGATAACAAATTTCCAAGTCCCTGTAACACTCAATTTCAAACAGAAGGGCAGGACAACTCGTCTGCCGGGTGCGGTGTCGCCGCCACGCCCACCAGCGCGGTATATTACAGTCCTGTCACATATACGTCGCAAGTGTGAACGCGACTTTACACAAATTTGGGTTCAACATCTACTCATTGTACTAATCAATGTTCTACCCCACCCCCTCCCCCGTATTAGGCCCCTTCCATCGTATCGGCTTCTTTAACTGGGGAATGGATAACATGTAGTTTTGCTAATGCTGACTTTTGGGGCACAATATTATAGTGTACGTTAAAAAGTAAATGAGTAGGAATTCATGAAAGGAATAGTGCAACTGACAGATGAGCAGAGTTTGACGGAACACGACAAAGAGTTGTAAAATGTTGGGACATGGGTTATATGTCTCAACAACTGGCAGAAATAATGAATCTTTGGCAAATATCGAATTATCTCATGGTCCAGTAGAGTTGTACTGGTCCCAAAGTGGTGGTGAAAAAGAGCAGAACATTTCCTGGACACCTAAGAATACACTGAATGACTGTGCACGGAAATGACGACGCCGCAACTGTGATAGGACCAGGCGATAAATGTCGAAAACGATGACTCATCATCAATGATGTTCCACGAATTGGCTCACTGGTATTTTGAAATCTAGCTTCCTGGGGAGAAATTAGTAA